TAACTCGGTCAGTCCTGCCGCCCAACCCTGCCCCTTCCCTGGGAATCTCCTCTTCCTGTAATTTCCCTGAAGCTCCAACTGCTGGGCCAGAAGACAGTTCTTCCCTTCCGTCTGTGGCTTGAAACCATCAGTCTGATTTCTTGCCCTGGCAGCCCTGTCTGAAAATCCTTCTGCCTCACTTAGCCCATTTCCTCCATTTGGCTTTGTGTCCTGCCGAGTCCCAGGAACACCTGACCTGGCCACGTCTCTGTCCCCTAGCACGTGTGTTTCCATACCTAACCTCACCCCTAACCTGGCCCCTCTTCACCTGATCTTGCCACTTCTGACCTCCTCTCCCCACCCGACAGGTGAAGCGGGAATTAGCGGCGGTTCTGCTCTTTGAACCACACAGCAAGGCGGGGACCGTGTGTAAGTCGGGCAGGGGACCTGAAACTGGGCACGGGGCCTGGACATTGGCAGAGGCCACAGAGAAGGAGTGGTGGGTGACAGGAGGGGCTGCGTCTGATCTGTGCTTCTCTCAGTGTTCAGCCAGGGGGACAAGGGCACCTCGTGGTACATTATCTGGAAGGGATCTGTCAACGTGGTGACCCATGGCAAGGTGAGCCCTCTGCCCTCCTGACCCAGCCCCCTGGGCTGTAACTGCCCCCTGGTCTGTATCCTCATGGGCAGTGCTTTTGCCAGCCCCAAGGCTGCTGATCCACCGCATCTCCTGTCTGGGTTGTTTTCTCTGCCTGGGTCTGTCATGGCAGGGGCTGGGGGTAGGGGCGTGGGATGGAGGGGCTGGGCCGTAACTGAGTCCCGCCTGCAGGGGCTGGTGACCACACTGCACGAGGGAGATGACTTTGGACAGCTGGCTCTGGTGAATGATGCACCACGGGCGGCCACCATCGTACTGCGAGAAGACAACTGTCATTTCCTGCGTGTGGACAAGCAGGACTTCAACCGCATCATCAAGGTGCCACCACTGGGGGTGGGGAGGGCAGGGGACATGGGCCCAGAGAAATTGTGTGGGGCACGGAGAGGCCCCAGAGAGAGCCTGTAAGGGGCAGGGCAAGGTAGGAGGTGGAGGTGCTTGGATCTATGGCTGGGAGTGGGGACCATGGCCCGTAGCATGCTGAGGGGCTCAGGCTTGCGGGGGGAGACACGGGGTGGTGGGTTGCAGAAGGGGGGGACCAGAGTGCCAGGGAGGCAGTTCCGTGGGGAGTGGACTCCATGGAGGGAAGGGTGGAAGAGGGGCTCCAGTGGGTGATGGGCAGCTGGGGGTTGTGGAAAGGGGTGGGGGTGGGAGAAGGGCTGAGGGTCCTGTGGAGACCTGAGGGGCTCAGGGTCTGGAAAGGAGCTGGGGAGAGGGTCTGTAGCAGGAGTCATGGTTGTGTTGAGCACTGACGTGCTTGCTCTCCAGGATGTGGAAGCAAAGACCATGAGGCTGGAAGAACATGGCAAAGTGGTGTTGGTGCTGGAGAGAGCCTCTCGGGGTGCTGGCCCTTCTTGTCCCCCAGCCCCAGGCAGGAACCGGTAACAGCCACCATGCTCCCTCTCCACACCTCTCCTCCTTTTTCCTGTCTTACTCCCTGCCTCTGTGTTGTATCCCTGCCTTCTGGCCACCTGGGTGGAGGGGCATCGAGGGACTAGGATACAACCCCTGAATCAGCCTCCCCCCACCCCAAGGTGGGACAGGGCTGGCAAATCGGGAAGCATGATATGATCGATTGGTGATGTCTGCCCGGGCTGTGGGAGGGGGGAGAGGTGCAAAAGTGTGATAGACTGGCCATTTCTCCTAGGTATACGGTGATGTCTGGCACCCCAGAGAAGATCCTAGAACTTCTGTTGGAGGCCATGCGGCCGGATTCCAGTGCTCATGACCCAACAGGTAGGGCAGGAGACACCCTGCCTGCTCTCTGACTCACGGGGTGGTCAGCACAGCCTGGGAGAGGGCCAGCACCCGACATCTGACCTCACCAGGTGCTGGATTGGTCCCTACAGCCAGTTGGCAGGAAGTCTTCTTACCCGTGCTCTTGGCTTGGGTGGGGGGCACTGTCACGGGGGCTGGGCATTGCCGGTACCTTGCCTGTGGTGGATTTGGGGAAGGAGTGCTCCAGCTGTGCATATACATGTGCTCAGTGGACTTGATTGGCCTCTGAAGCCTCCTCCCATCCCTCCACCCTGCCCTACAGAGACATTCCTCAGCGACTTCCTCCTGACCCACAGCGTCTTCATGCCCAGCGCCCAGCTCTGCGCTGCCCTCCTGCACCAATATCCTTCCAGCCCAGGGTGATGTTGTGTGGAGGGATGGGCTGGTGTGTGCGGTTGAGAGAGACAACCCCTCATAAGTGTGGCCATGCTGGACCCTCTGAGGTGCCAGATTGTCAGTGGGCCCTGGGCATCTTGTGCCTCCTTTGCCTAAGGTGTGGGGGTGGCCCTGCTGAGTCCTGTGGTTCCCTTGACCTGAGCCCACCTTCCATGCGGAGCCCGCAGGAGGCAGTGAGCAGGAGCGCAGCACCTACATCTGCAACAAGAGGCAGCAGATCCTGCGGCTGGTCAGCCAGTGGGTGGCCCTGTACGGCCCCATGCTCCACACTGACCCCGTGGCCACCAGCTTCCTCCAGGTACCTGGGAGAGAAGCAGGGTGCACTGGGCTGCCTGGGGCGGATGCAGCTACGGCCAACTCAGCGAATTGAATCTTGGCTCCTTGTAGAAACTCTCAGACCTGGTGAGCAGGGACTCCCGACTTAGCAACCTGCTGAGGGAGCAGTGGCCAGAGAGGCGGCGCCACCACAGGTGATGCTTTGACTCTAAGTTAATTTGTCATGTCTGTGACCGGCAGTGCGGCAGGTCCGAGAGCACACGCTGGTCAAGCACCTGGCTCCAGACCCATCAGCCGCTGTTGTCGGTCCCTTTGCTATCCACCCTCACGTGGTCACGCGCCCATCCGTTCTCACGCGTCATGCGATCAGTTATTTACTCATCCTCAGACCCTGCACACACCTGCTGCTCTCACTTCCTCCATCTGGCACACATTTGTCATGGAATACCTTCGGTGCCAGTTCCTGCCAGCCCAGCCCAATAAATCTCCTAGCGTTTACCTTCCTTCCCAGACATTCCCTGAAGCAGCACCCGATCTGAAACCCTGGCTCTGTATCTCCCTTTAACTGTTTCCCTCCCTTGCCAGCCTTGGAAAATCCCAGAAACCACGGTCCAGGTTTCAAGCCCGTTTTTGCCCCTTTCTATGTAATATTCACCAAGTTGGATTGACCTCTGAGCCGCTGGCGAGGGCGGGCTGGAATCCAGAGCCCCGGACCTCCCTGCTCCTGACCCTGCGTTTCCCGCCCCCAGGGATACCTGGCCCGCTCACCTCCCTTGTCTCTCCCTTTCCACAGGTTGGAAAATGGCTGTGGGAATGCATCTCCTCAGATGAAGGTGTCTGCCCCGAGAGTCACCTCTGCCCACCTGGCTTCTTCCCTCTGCCTTCTTCCAGCCCTTCCCTGAGGGACCCTGCATGGGTCCCTCCCACAGACACACCTCTGGGTCTGTCAGGGGCATTCAGGGGTCCTTGCTGTGTGTGGCGCTCATTCCGGGCCAGCCCCTACAGGGGAGACATGGGTGGCACCCTTCCTCCCCCACCCCAAGGGGCTTTCTACCTGCAGGAGGTAATCTGTGCTCACAGGTAGAGCTGGGGAGGTGAGGAATGACGGCTGAGCCAGCCTCTGAGGCCCGAGGGGTTCCCGGTGGCCGGTGCTGCCCCCTCCCTGGGGAGTCAGAGGTGGCCTACGCCATTCCTGACTAGGGCCCACAGAGAGCAAGGGGGGATGAGAAGATGTGCATGGAGCCAGATTTGGTTGAGGAATGGCAGGAGAAAGGGCTGGAAAGGTCATTGGGTTGGTTGTGGGAGTTCCGCCTTGAAAGTAAGGTCCAAATGCCTCCCCTTGGCTGCCGGCTCTCGTACCCAGCCCCCTCCTCACCTCACGCCATCCCACCCTCCTGCTTGTTGGAGACTCACTGGCTCCTTCTCTCCTACAGACAAAGCTTCTTCTCACCTCAGGGCCTTTGCACTTGTCCTCAGCCTGGAACTTGCTTTCTCTGGCTCTTTGCCTGACTGGATCCTTCTTCTGATCTCAGCCAAGCTGTTGTCCCTGAGAGGCCCCTTGTCTTTCTCCCCCGCTGTTTCCCACTCAGGGTGTCCTCTGATATTCTGCAAAGCACTCGGTGGTGGAATGTTCTCTCGTTGTTGTCGACTTGCTTACTATCTGTTAGTATTTCATATTGCACTAGAATATCAGCTTCACTCGGGGGCCTCCCCATCTCTTTCCCCTGTATTCATGTTGCCGGCACATGGCTGACGGCAGGAACCAGGCCGAACTGCCCTTGCGTGCTGGGCACTGTGCTGGGTGCCAACGGTGCGGCGGTGGGCTGGGAGAGCCATGCTGGGCTGGGGGGCTCACAGCCAAGTGAGGGGTTGCCGGCACATGGCTGACGGCAGGAACCAGGCCGAACTGCCCTTGCGTGCTGGGCACTGTGCTGGGTGCCGACGGTGCGGCGGTGGGCTGGGAGAGCCATGCTGGGCTGGGGGGCTCACAGCCAAGTGAGGGGCAAAGCTGCTAAGCAGCTCTGTGATATACAGTGACAGAGATGGGGTCTCTGAAAGCAGAGAAGGGGAACTGCTCATCAGGCTTGCAGGTTCAGGAAGAGTCCCCGGGGAAGTGACTGCTGGAGCTGAGAGCTTCAGGGGCCGAGGGGTGGGAAGAAATCTCTGAAAGCAGAGAAGGGGAACTGCTCATCAGGCTTGCAGGTTCAGGAAAAGAGTCCCCGGGGAAGTGACTGCTGGAGCTGAGAGCTTCAGGGGCCGAGGGGTGGGAAGAAGAGGGCTCTGGGCAGGCCAGCTGTAGAGGGAAGGGAGCCTTGGAGGAGGCAGAGTGAGAGAGCAGGACACCAGAGAAGGCCAGGGAGGTGGGCAGGGGCCACCGGGCCATGGCAAGGGGTTTGGTCTTCATCCTAAGAGCCATGCAAACCATTGAAGGGGTCTGAGCCGAGGAGCAACAAAATCTGATTTGTGTTTTGAAGAGGTCAGCTAAAGAACCTGGGCTTTGTCCAGCAGACAATGATGGCCATTGAAGCCGAATCAGGAAGCTTAATCTGGCTCTGGCTGGGCAGATTGGAGGAGGAGGATGGAGGCACACGACGGGTGAGGGTGGAGGAGGAGAGTCGGGCCATTGTAGTGGATGCCGAGCGAGGCCTCCTGGGCAGGTGGAGCTGGAGTTATCTTGGGCTGGGGAGAAAGGGGCAGCGGGAGACCCATTTCAAAGAAGAGTCCCCAGATCAGGGTTACGAGCTATGGCGACATGGGGAGGAGTCAGGAGCCCGGGAGAATCACAGGGGAAAGAGTGGTCTGGGAGGCAGGACGTGGGGATTGGTGGGTGTGTTGAGTGTGGGGCAAAGTATCACAGATGTGGAAGGCCCCAGGGGGTGTGTGAGACCAGGGCTTGGCTGACACAGATGCAAGTGGCACACAAGGCTGCAAGGAACTCTGAGGAGGACTCTGTGATTTGGAAATCTAGGGACAAATGATAGACTGAGGACTGAGGTCTAAACCTTGAGGATCTGCCACATGCAGAGCTGGAAGGAGGCAGAGAGCACCTGAGTTGGAAGGAAGAGTCAGGGGTGGGAAGAGGATCCTGCTTTAGGAGGCCTTTGCCTAGCAGGGGCTGCCCCGTCAGCAAAGGTTTGGCAGTGGTTTCGGCCCACTGAGTCCCTGCTGTGAGGTTTGACAGGGCAGCTGACACAGTAGTGTGTGGACAAAAGCACAGAGGGAGGGAGGAGCAGGTCAGGATTCCAGCTCTGCCACTTGGCAGCTGTGTGGTCTTGGGTGTGTTACTTAACCTCTCTGAGCCTCGTTTACGGCATCTATAAAATGGGGATGATAGAAATGCTTTTGTCAGAGGGCTATCGTGAATATTTAGATGCTTAACAGCACCTGGCTTGTAGCAAATGGTAGCTAAAGGAAGGAAAGGAAGAGAAAACCAGGGTCAACAGCTGAGGTGTTTTCATAATACACAGTGGACCTATTTGACAGAGAGGGAAGAACACATGTGGAGGGGCACAGACTTGCCCCACCCTTGGGCCTGTTCCATCTCTTCTGGAGCCTTGGTCCCAGGCACCTTACCTGGGCTGAGGTTATGTGGCAAGCAGAGCACTCTGGTGGTGTGAGGGTTGTGAGGGTCTCATGCTCCTTGTGGCAAAGACCCCCTCTGTCCCTTCCCTCTGTGTCCTCCGAGCCTTACTTTTTCTCCCTCTCAGGCCTGGAACGTGCCTGTTTGGCTCCCTGGCCAGGACGAGCTCCTCCACAGCAGCAATTGTGCCATCCGCGCTGGGGACAAAGGTTGGTGGTCCAAGCCAGCCAGGCTCTCTGCTGTCTCTGCCTCTCTTGTCCTACTGTTGTCACCCTTGACCTCAGTGTGCCTGGGCTGAGGGTGGCCTGCTGCACTCCTGGGGTCTCTGTCCTAGGCTACCAGGCAGCTCTGCCTCCTGTGCCCTCTCCTGCTCTGCCGAGCTGGTCCGCCAGGCTTCTCCTTGTCGCACCCCCTACCCTGCCTCTTGGGGATTTCTCCCATTACCGCTCAGGCTGCCCTTGTCCTGCTGGGGTGGGGAGATGAGGCGGCCCTGCCCACAGCTTGGCTTGGTCCTTCCCTCCAGTCCCCTATGACATCTGCCGGCCGGACCACTCTGTGCTGACCCTGCAGCTGCCTGTAACAGCCTCAGTGAGAGAGGTGATGGCGGCATTGGCCCAGGAGGACGGGTGGACCAAGGGGCAGGTGCTGGTGAAGGTCAACTCTGCAGGTGGTGAGTTGTGCCTCTGAATAGACCCCCAGGGAGGTGCCCCCTCAGATCCATGCCCAGATCTCCTGAATTAAGATTATCCTTATCAATGTTTACCATCTTTATCATCTTGATCAATGTTAATGGTTAGCATGTTAGCATTTATGGGAGGTTTATTTTATCTATTCTAAGTGCTTTACATGTAGTGCATAAGAGCGTGGACTCTGGAGCCTGCTGCCTGCCTTTGATACCAGCCCTTTAGCTCATTATCTGTGTGTCCTCGGGCACGGTAGTTAATCTCTCTGTGCTGTTTCATCACCTGTAAAATGGTGATAATGAGAGTACTTGTCTCCTACAAGCATTGTGAGGATTAAATGAGTTAATCTATTAAAGTGTTTAGAATGGTGTCTGGCACATAGTCAGTGATAAATAAGTATTAGCTGATACTATTATTATTATCATTTTTGTATATTCACTTAATCCTAATAACAATCCTATGAGATAGATACTTTTATCCTATTTTCAGACAGGGAAACTAAAGTTCAAGGGGAGTAAGCAATTTCCCCTAGCTCGCACGGTAAGAGAGGGTAGCAGCCTCGGAATAGAGGTAGTCTTCATTCATTTAGTCATTCAGCAAACATTTTTGAGGGTCAGCTATGGACCAGCAATGTGTTAGGAGCTAGAGGTACCATGGCAGATAAGACAGACCAGCTTGAACATAGACTTTGGACTCGCAGACTCACAATTTACTAGCTGTGTGATCCTGAGCATGTTGCTTGACCTCTCTGAGCCTTTGTTTCCTCATCTGTCCAATGAGTACTGTAATTGTATCTATCACGCAGGACTGCTGTGGCTCTTAAAGGAGATAATGCGTGTAAAGCATTTAGCATGGGGCCTGCCATAAAGTCAGTACTCAGAATAGGGCTGCATGAGGATCATTAAAATTTGCTTTCAGAGAACTTGGGACATTGAAAACCACTGTTCTCTGTGAAAGACCCAGCCCAAGCCTGCCAACTGGAGCCCAGGCTAGAAAAGAATTAGGTGCATTCAGAGAATAAAGGCAAGAGGTGGAGGTGAGAAAAACCTTCTCCCTTCAGGAAGTGGGGAGAGACTGATGAGGTCACCTGTGCACTCTGTTCTGGGAAGCACTGCCCTCTGGTGGCCACCTGGTGGGTTGCAGTTGCCCAAAGCCCATACATACAGCACTGATCTCCCAACTGCTTTGATCGACACCCACGTCAGCAACCAATATTTTATTGCACATCTCCCACTATGTGTATATTTGTTTCTAAATCATACAATATATTCTATACTAATGTTATATAATTATAAAGCTGGGCACAAAATAGAAACACAAAACTGATAAAAAAAATATAAGTAGAAGAATTAATATTTTTTCCTGGACACGTGAACGGCCTTGTGTAGGTTACTTTGGAGGCCACTGGAATAGAAACTGGCGACTCAAACATGACTAAACTGGGCACAAAATAGAAACACAAAACTGATAAAAAAAAATATAAGTAGAAGAATTAATATTTTTTCCTGGACACGTGAATGGCCTTGTGTAGGTTACTTTGGAGGCCACTGGAATAGAAACTGGCGACTCAAACATGACTA